AAAAAAATTATTGGAAGAATTAATTCTGGAGAGCTTAAAGTAGAAAAATGATAAATATATAATTAATATAAGTATTATTATAGTAGCTTTTTTATTAAAATCCATATAATCCATTAATCATATATTCAATATGTAAAAGAATTAACTTAATTATTTTTACAAGTGACTATAAGAAAATGAAGAAGTATATCAAATATTTTTTATTTATATTTATAGTATAAATTTTAATAAAAATATAAAAATTTTATAAATAATTTGAAGAAAATTAGATATTAGATTGGCTAATGAAAAATATGAATGATAAATCTGTTAGTCCATTTATTATCTACTTCATATAAATGCTAAGTTTTATAATTTGATCAATTTATTTTGCTCTTTAAACAAATTTTAAATATCCAAATCTATTTAGAATACCCATAACATAAAGATTCCTATCACCAGGAATAGAAAATAATAGATTATGATTATTAATTTGGTAATGAATAGGCATCTTACTAATAAATCTAAAATTATACAAGCATTATTTTAAGAAAAAAATTTTATTTAGACTTACTTCTTATTATAATTGTTATCAGCTTAATTTTTAAGTGTTTTTGATTTGGCTTTAGTTTCTATTTAATCATAAATTAGGTCTAAAATAAGTCAAATCAATTATGAAGGACAGTGCTTTGAAATTAACAATATATGATTTATTATCAAGACAAATCTAAATAGATAAAATAATAAGTTATTTAATAAATATTAAATAATATTATTTATGGAGTATTTGGAAATTTGCCAGTATTTAATCAGACTTGTAGAATTATTGATATTTTTAGATACTAAAAATAAACTTGAAATTGATTTTATTCATAAGGTCATCTTCTGGGCTATTAAATATCAAAGTGATCATAAAGTAAAAGGAAAAGTGGTAAACCATGCTATTCTCATCCTGTAGACATAGTGATTTGGATTATTGAGTTAAAATAGATTTTATAAAGCTTCCATATTTATATTTTACGGGAAAAATTATTGAGAAAAAAGAAAAAAACGATTTTCTAAAGAATTTACCAATTTAGATCAGAATTATTTGATTTATAAAAGCCTTATGTTTAAAGTGATATTTAAAAAAAGATTTTTTTGATTGAAAAACTCTATAAAGGTTTTTTTATTTGTAAACATCGCTTTATCCAAATATAAATTGAGCTTTTATTTAATAAATAGTATATTACTTACAAAAAAATTAATATTATGCTGTTTTTTAGTGTTCTCAATTCTCCAATTTAACTTATTTATGAGATATTCTATAGTTTATTTTACAAAAAATTTAAATTTAATTTTGGATAGAAGGTGAAAAATCTTTTAGA